CTGCGGGGCAGCCCGACCCGGGGCCCCGCCGTGCGGGCCGACCCCGCCGCTGGCGCTCGAGGGCCACGACCGGGAGGGGCGATGGGGCAGGCAAGCAGGAGGCAGAGACGGGGCGGCTCATCGCACAGCTTTATTGCTCCCGGGACCACAGGACACACGCCGGGCACAGGCGCTCGTGCCCCCTTCCCCGCCTGCCCCGGGGGGGCTTAAAAAAATAGAAACTAAAACTATTTAAAAAACCCCCCCTCCGCGTGTCCAGGTGCCATCGAGGCCCTGCCCTCTGACCCCGGCCTGGGCTTCCAGCCTCCGCCTTCCCCGTGTCCCAGCAGCCCCAGCCTTCGCACACTGCCCAGGACAAGACCCGGCCCTGCACCCAGGGGGTCGCTGAGCTGAGGCTCGGCTCGGAGGAGTCGGGAGAGGAGGCCAGGAACACCAGGAAGGGAAAGGTGGAGGAAGGACGAGGCCAGGCGCTGCCACGTCCCAGGTGCCAGCACGTCTGGCCCCGTTCCGACAGCGCCCGCCACGCCGGGGCCCCCGCGCCACAGCCCTGGGCAGGAGCTGCTCCGCCGCGCCTGCGGCTCCTTCCCTGCAGCACTCGGGCCGGGCGACGGAGCAGGGCAGGCGCTGGCTTCCAGCAGCTGCTGAGCTCAGAGCCCAGGAGCCCACTCCCTGCCCTGGCCCACGGCTCGCTCGGCCTGAGGCTCCTGCCCAGAGCTCGCTCCAGGGGGTCCCCGCAGCACCTGCACCCAGCCCTGGGCCGCGGGCAGGGCAGGGCCCACAGCCAAGGTCCAAGCCAGGACCAGCACAGCGAGCTCTGCCCAGGGGGTCAGGACGAGCTGCGGCAGCACCAGGGCACGGGCTCCTCGAGACAGGCCGCCTGCTCCAGGCAAAAGCTGCCCTTCTGGAGCCCCCTCCTGCCTGCACGGCCCCGGCACCCGCGCCACAGAGACAGAGCCCAGGGCTGTGGGTTGGACCTTGGGCTCTGGATCCCACCCCTGGGAGGCCGGTGGGGCAGAGCCCAGGGGCCAGGGGCGAGCGCAGGCCCTCTTGCTGGCAATGGGCACGGGGGACTGGAGGTGGCTGCTGCTCGGGGAGGGTGGTGGTGCAAGGTGTGGGCAGCCGCACGGAGCCAAGAAGCCACGTGAGCTCACGGGGAGCTCGGTGACCCCAGCTGCTTGCTTCTGCCGGCCCCGGGAGCCAGCTGGCACTGCAACAGGGAAGCGGGGCACCTCAGTCCCTGGACAAGCTCTGGAGACTGCTCACTCCCAGAGCCCGTGCTGCCCCATCGGGGTCTGGGGGGGCCGAGGACTGGCACGAAGCCGCCACTGGCCTTGGCAAGGTGCTGCGCAGCTGCCCTCCACGTCCAGGTCAAGCCCCGGCCATGGAGGGGAGGGAAGCACGGCCCCAGCCCTGGAGCCCACTGCCAGCAGAGGGGCTGCTGCTGGCAAGCTCTGCCGCCTGAGCCAGTGCACGTGCCCCGGCCGGGGCAGGGGTTGCCTGCTCTGCCCCCGGGGATGCACTGTGGGCACCAAGCCGCCTGGTCCCTGGGGAAGGGAAGGGGCAGGCGAGGGGCTGCTCGTAGGGGAAGGCAGACAGGCTCAGACGCCTGCTCCACCAGGCCTGGTCAGCCCTACAGGGTCTGGGGGAGGACGGGGGTTTCTAGCTCCTCTGGTTCCTCGGGACTGGAAGGGGAAGGTCCCAGCAGGCTGGACGCGCCCCGGCTCGGCCCTGGGGGGCTGTCACACCCACCTGAGACACCCCTGGCCGTACCTTGAGGTGCTCGTACCGTTTGCTCCTAGTTCTGTACCTGACTGCACGCTTGGCCCCAACCCCGGGGGGAAGCAGGGGGACGAGCGGGGCTGGGGCAGGGGCAGCTGTTGGGGGCTCTGCTCCAAGCACCCCTTCCCAGGACAGTTCCCCGTGGCTGGAGTCGCCTCCCAGGACACTGGGGGACACGCGAGGGACGACCTGCCCGCCCCCACCTCAGGCCATGTGGCACGGAGACAAGCGAGCCGTTTACCTAGGGAAGGGATGAGGACATGCCGAGGTTCCCAACCACCCCCCAGCAGACCCCACCCCAGCCAACATTGCGGAGGCAGACGGGGGATGAGCTGGGGGGGGCTACACAAGCCCAGGTGTGTGGCACTTGCCCTGGACACGTAGCAAAGCTGTGGCTCAGCGCCATGTTGGACTCGCTTGCAAAAATAAATTACGCCCCCGCAGAGCCAAAGCGCCACGCTGCTCCCAGACGCTGAGATCCAGGCTGCCCGCGGTCCCTGCCCCCATGCCGCACCCACTGGCAGCCCCGCAGCGCAATGACCCAGGGTCCTTCGTGCCATCGCAGCTGGGGCAGGGGAGACCTGGCCACTGGGCAGGCCAGAGCAGAGCCAGGTCCAAGCGAGCAGCTGTGGGAACGCGGCTGCCTCCGCGGGGAGCAGGGAGAGCGCAGACAAGCTAGCCCCGCTCAGCTCCACCCAGGATCTCCCCGCGTCCCCTCCAACTGTAGCAGCACCAAGAGTCCAGTCTGGGTCGGACGGGCAGTCTCCCAGGCAGGCAGAGCACAGTCCGGCTCTGCTTGTCACATGATTCAGCAGCAGTTTTTTTGGGGGGGGAGGAAATAATACTTGGTACATTCAGCGCTGCTGCCTGGGCAGCGCCGCTGGGTTTGGCACGAGTTGTCTGGCTCACGGACCCTCCGGAGTCCTCGCCATGCAGTTCCAGATGCAGACGTCCTGTCTGCGGTGCTGAGTTCGAGGGCTGCCCTCACAGACGCACCCCCGGCTCCCGCCGGCAGCCCCTGGGCTGGGCACAGCGGGTACAGTGTTGGCGCGGCCTGGCAATCCAGGGAATCTGCCCGGAGCACCCGGCTGTGTCGCTGTTTCCTGGGACCCCGTGGGGGCTGCCCCACAGCCTGCTCCCGGCGCTGCGGCGACCCGTCTCCTCCCTTCTACGCAGTGGCCGCGGCAGCTCAGATCCCGCTGGTGAGGTCGGTGATGACACGGGCCTTCACCAGCTTCCGCAGGAACTCCTTCTCCCGCTGGATGTTGTGCGTCCAGGACTGGAAGGGAACCAGAGACAAGCAGTCAGCAGCTGTCCCCCACCCCGATGCACCGGCAGGGGCAGATCCAGGGGTGCAGGTGCACCTGCCCCTGGATTCCTGCTCCACCTGAGACTTAACACCACGTGCCTGGGAGAGGCAGCAGCATTTTTATCCAAGTAGTGCTAAGAGAGTGAATCCTCATCATGACTCATTGCAACAGGTTCCTGCTAATCTCGCCACTCCACAGGGGTTAATGACCCTCTCTGCTGTTCAACCGTCCTGATGTTCCACTCAACAACCTAGCCTTTCTGTCTGCTAGCCACTCCTGGTAGTCTCCCTCTCCCATTTCACAGCCCTGCAGACTGGGTTTAGCCTTAGCTAAAACCCTTAACTCAGGCGTGGTCATAGCAACTCGGATGAACGTTAACTCAGGCGTGAAAAACTGACTGACAGTGAAGTGCTGGATGCCCTGTCAAGATGCTCAGGAAGACTAGCTTTTGTTTTGTGAATCCGAATAAGTGATGTACATTTAACTACAGTGATTATAGGACTAATGAAACAATCTCTTATAAGCTAGTAAATTGGTGTATGTTGCTATAAAGTTATATTGGTTTTCGCTTTGATTTGAAACAGGTATTATAGCCTGGGGCCGCCAGTGTGTCAGTGCATCTTCTAGTTTCTTTAACTGGTGGAAAAATACGCGGTGATGCACCCTGCCATCTCCACGCGCCTTTTTAAAATCCAGCCCCACGGCGGTGGGCTCTACCTGAGCTGTCACCACGCAGGAAAGGGCTGCGGGAGCCGTCATTAGCATGCTAAAACCGTCAGCTCGGTGTTCAGGGCAAGCAATGCCAAGGATTATTAGGCAGGGAATCCTAGTGATCTGGAGCTCCCCCATGGTGCTGCTGTTGTGTAGAGCAGCGGTTTCCAACCTGTGGTTCATGGACCCAAGGGGATGTCCACAGTCTATGCCCAAGGGGCCCATGAGAGATGATTGTGATCAATCAAAACTATGTGAACCCCCACAGCCACCATCCAGAGGGGCCCGCACCTCCATTCAACTTTTCCAAAGGGGTCTGCAAAAGAAATAAGGTTGGAAAACACCGGCTTAGGGGGCTACGCCGCAGCAGCCAGCCATGCTGCAGTGGGGATGGAGGTAGAAAGGGGGACATGACTCTCCCCAGGTTATGCCGCCGGCCATGGACAGAGCCCGGCGCAGAGCCCAAGGCTCCAGCTCACCAGTACAACCTGCCCAGGGCTGCTGTGTCCCCAGGGGTGCCTGCACTCAGACCTGTGCCTGGGGAGCGGCCACCCAACTTGAACCCACCCAGTCAAACCACCCCTGTTCGGCAGTGCCCAGCGGGACCCGTGCTGTTCTGGGCCCTCCACGTGCTCACGGGGTCTGAAGCCGTCTCTCCAGAGCACGGCTGTCAAATGCACCTGGCCCCAAATGACCTGGGGCCGGTCCCCAGGCTGGATTGGAGCAATGGGCCCAAGAACCCCGGACACCTCCCCATGCTCCCAACCCCGTGCCAGATCCAGCACTCCACAGGTGTTAATGACCCTCTTCTTTTTAATGGTCCCTATGTTCTGCTTATGAAGCTGGCCTCTGTTCTGCCATGCTGCTGCCCGTGAGCTGCTCCTGGTCACGGAGCTCCTATTTCACAGACTGTTTTTAACTCATTCCAATGACGTTCTATTTTTAGACGTTCTTCAACTGGAGAAAAATGTGCGTTGTTTTATCGGTGACGATGCACCTTGCCATCTGCACCTCCCTTTTCAAAATCCTAGATCCACCCATGCCCAACTCCCATTCAGTCTACAAATGCTTACTCTGCTGTTCTCCAGCCCCTGCCCAGACAACGCCTGACCCTCCTGTGCCGCTGTTCAGGCCCCGGGTGTGCGGCTCTGCAGCTAGGGAGCCCTGGGAACTGCTGCTGGCATCAGAACCGTGCCCCGGGAGCACGCTGGTCAGGGAACCCTCCCTCCTCGTAGCGTTTTGGACCGCTCTATGCACCCAACGACATGAGGATCACGGCCCTTCCCTGACTGCCGGAGGAGAGAGGTGGCGGTGGAGCAGCCAATGCGACCATCAGCACTTGTGTCATCCTGGGACAGCGCTGCGCATGCTTATGTCCACACAAGACTCGGGTGGGTGGCAGGGCAGAACCGGTGCGCGCATCCCCACCATCACCCAGCAGCAGCCATCACCATCCATCTCTCCACTGGCAAAACAGCTCTCAGCTCCCATGGACTGGGGCAAGCAAGCCCATGCTCCAGGGATGGGGCCTTCTGCCTCCAGCTATGCTGCAGTCCCCACAGGGTGCCCTAGGCCAGCAGCATGATCAGACCCCATTGCTCAGGGCTCGCACCAGGGTCCTGGAGCTACTGCTCTACAGCATGCGGCTGCTCAGCAGATACCGGCTCCCCACAGCAGCCTCGTTCCCTCCTTGGCTTTGCTGTTTGTGCTGCTGCCGCAGCTTCGGTTCCACCAGCAATGATGAGTGAGGGGCCGTGTCCCTAAAGCAGAGCAGAGGACTGCCGTGATACGCTTAGCGCTGGGGCTCCTGCCAACGGGATGGCAGGGAGGCCAAGGACAGAGCACGTGGTATAAAGGGACGGTGGGAACTGCCTGGAGCAGAGGCAGTCGTCAGCTTCCCACAAACATCCTCCAAGTCCCCGAGAGAATTGCAGCACATTGCAATGTCCCACAAAGCCCCACGCTAGATGGTGGCACGAGGAGCCCTGGGATGCCTGCCCGTGGGCCCGGGGTGTCCTGCTGACGCAGCTGCCTGGCATTGCTGGCAGGCCACTAAGCATGTAAGCAGCCAAGCAAACCTGCAGTGTCAGCAGCTGTGCACTGGCACGGACGCTGGCAGCCAAACGTCTCCGGACGGCCATGGCCTGAGTGCTATTGGTTATCCTCTGGCTGGGTGCAGGCTGTGAAGTATCAGTCTCCAAGGTGTGGGTGGAGCAGGGGCTGGTCTAGCAGGTCCTGGTCATTCAGGATGCAGAGCTAGACCCACTTGTGCCCAGGGCAGCCTGGCTTGACATGCACAGAGAAGAGAAGCCACCAGCTCTGCCTGAGCACCCGCACGGGTTGCAAACGGGCCTCCGGCGCAGGCACGCAGGGGCCCACGGCTGTCAAGCTGGGATGCAGGTGCACGGGTCATGGTCAGACCCAGTGACACGCTGACAAGGGCAGGGCAGGGCAGGGCAGCTGTGCCGCTGCTCTCAAGCCAATCCAGGCCCTGGTGTTTAAGGAACTTTTTTTGGCATAACACAGACTCTGGTGAGGCATCTTCCCAGCCGGCAGGGTCCGTGGTCACCTCGGTTGGTGCCTGCTTAGGAACGCAGGCACATTCACGACGCAGGGGGGCCACGCCACGGGCTGACGCTGCCACGCTGCACAGCTGGCTTAAACCTGAGGCAGAGCAGGATTCTGTAGGTGAAGAGGAAGGGCCCTGGCCTGTCCTTTTACCTGCTCCGGAAGGGCAAGTCCAGAGCCTTCATGGGGAGCTGCTCTGCAAAGCTGCCAGGCACGGGGCACTGCACCGGTGGGAGGGATGTGGCTCATCTCCAGGTTACTGATCGCAACAGAGGAACTGGCTCCCAGTGACCGACGTGACTAAGCAAGCAAATGCAATCACATCCCTGCACCGTGTGGCTAGACAAGACAAGCAGGGAGACGGGAAAGTCTCACAAGTGCCTAGAGACTGACCTCACGTGTGCTTCGGTCCCTAGCACACGCTGGCTGTCATGGGCCACAAGCGCCTGAATGCCTGCCCTGGGAACCCACGTCCCATCCACGTGCACGGGGCTCAGGCTCCCGTGGTACCGAGTAGGAGGGTCACGGCACGGCCGCACGAGGGACTAGGTGGGCTTGACCAGCAGGTGCAGCAGGGCTGGCTCTGCAGAACCAGGAGCGTTGCACGTGCGTGGTTCAGGGCTGGAGAGTCCACACGTGGCACCCACCAGCCCCCAGCACTCAAGTCCTGCAGACTGGGGCTGTTACGAGGACGCTGGTAAGGGCATGGAGGATCGAGGCCCCTGCAGTCTGAGGCTCCCTCCATCGGGGCCAGGCAGGCATGCAGGGGTGGCTGGTGGGGAAACCTGGCTGCACTGCACCGGGCTGCGGGACGTGTCCCCCACGCCTCTCCGGGAAATGTCAAGGTGTCTTTGTAACCAATCTTGCCTGCAAATCGCCCTGGAGCTCTTTCAGCCGATGCATCGTTCTTTGATGCAGCAGGGACTTCAAGGATCGCCGAGGCTGGGCTGCTCCCAGCTCTGCCCGGGGGGCTGTGTGGGCAGGCCCGGGGGAGTAGCTGCACGTGCCTGCTTGGGGCAGCGTGCGGGCAATGTGGCTAGGAGCCAGCTCGGCCTCGTGCGCAGCCCATCTCCAGCCATGCTGCAGCTTGTTTTTCTTCCTCCTTTTTCCCTTGACAAGTCAAAGCCGCAGCACAAGGATTTCCATTGTATCCTGCCCCCAAGGTCCCGGCCCACCTGGCTCTGGTCTTGGGGTGGGCAGTGCTGTCTGCAGACCCCACTAATACTGGCTTTGGCAGGAGTGCCGTGTCCTCACCCACTCGTCTCCTGCTGCTGCTCCCTGCTTGTTTCCACCAGCCGCATTGGCCCCGACTGACCGACCGACCATGCCAGGTCAGGTGACTCCGATGGGAAAGGAGGGTTTCGGCTGCACGGGGAGTCCACCTGCCTTCCCCGCAGTCCTGCTCACCCCCTGCACTCCCTCCAGGATCTGAGTCTTTTCGCCGGCAGGGACTGAACTGTCTGGCCACTCCCTGCCTCCAGTGCCCAGCATTGCCGGCTCCTGGCAGCGCCTGCTTGGCACCTGGGAGAGGCTTTTCCTGCTTCCCTTCCTCTGCCGCTGGCTCCTACCCGCGTGCTGAACAGCTCTCGCTAGTGCAAGCCAACTCAGCAGCCTCCACGGCAAGCAAGAGTGATGTATCCCTGAGGACCCGTGAGGAACGCGAGCCCTCCTCCTCCGCTGGGAATCAGGG